CCACAAAACTGTGTCTGAACATTATTTAACATCACCTCATCACCTAGCAGCTCTCAATGCTACCACTTAGAATAACGTTGCAATATCGTTCATGGGCCTACCTATATTTTCTTAATCCTGATCTCTGAACTCTTGCAAGCAAGGGAGCGTACGGGTACGATAACACGTGAACTTCAATACCATCAATCAAGGCTTGTCTCCCTCTCTCTCTCTCCTCTCCTCTCTCTTTCTCTCTCTCTTTTATGTACCACATTACCACATTGCGTATGTTTGTGTGCGTGTATGCGTGTGTGTGTTTGTGAATTTTGTAGTCAGCAACATGAATGTTTTAACATGACAAACACAGAAATATACATTTATACTAATGAATGAATGTATACATGAAAAAATGTGCGTGTATGTATGTGTGTGTGTGGGTGTGTGTGTGTGTGTGTGCGCGTGTGTATTTGATAGACAGGCGTGTTAGGAGTGGTGGTGGTGCATTGTTAAATAATTCCACCCGGCGGATGTTTTATAAATTTAAAATTTCATTGTGAGTGTGTTTGTGTGGGTGTGTGCAAATTTGTTTGTGCTGGCATACACACGCATATATACACGCAAAGAAACACACAATTACACGCACACACACATACAAAGAACTACACACACACAGACATCAAATTTAAAGAGCTCACAAAAGTACAATGGCTAACCTTTCTAGCGAGTGTTAATATTGCAATTCACTTTTAATCATAGCAGGCAAAACAATGAAGAAAATTTTTCTCCCACTCTCTCATTCTGCAAAAAAATGTCTTGGCTTCATGTGTACGTGCGTACGTGTGCACGTGAGCGTGTGTATGCGCGTATGTGTGCGTGTGTGTGCGTGTGGATTTGTTCAAAATTTTATTTCTTTATTATCAAATTAGCAAACAAACAAAACATTGGCAAAACGTGCACACGCACTTACTTGCATAAATGCGTGGACGATCACGCTTTGAACGTTAACCGCACGCAAAATCAATAACCCAGACACCCGCACAGACAGACACACGCACACACGCACATACACAGATACGCATACAAACACACACACACACAACTAAACAAAATAATAAACATATAAACACACGCACACAAAGAATGTTTACAGAGGCATGCAGAGATTAAAGGACGTACGAGCGTAAATTATGATGATAAACTGTAAATATAAGGAGTAAAGAAAATAAACTTGGGTGACGATAGTTAAACGCTTGATCACGTGTTCATTTCCACATCCGGTCGCATAGGCTAATTCGGTCATTTATCATCTGGCCAGTCTGCTCGGAGGTTCAGTCTTATTAAGGTGTCGTCATCATCACTATTAATGACGTCAGTCTGGAAAATTATTTTATCTTTCTTGTTGTTTTTGTGTTTTCTTTTGTTGTTGCTTCTGTTGTTTTTATTAATTACTACTACCAATAGTCTACAACTCAACTTTTTAATACAAATCCATTTCATTAACTTACCTCTCAAGCATTTTCTTGAAAAATATTTTTATTATTTTTTCTTTCTCACCTTTTCATTCTTTTATTCATTTTTCTTATTCTCGTTCTGACTGACTCTTCCTTTCTCTATCTTTCTCTCTCTCTTTCTATTTTTCTCTTTCTCTCTCTCTCTCTTTCTATTTCTATTTCTCTTTCTCTCTCTCTTTCTCTCTCTCTCCTCTCTTTCACTCTCTCTCTCCATCACCGCCATCCATTCAAGTGCCAGCAGCACTCCTCACTTCGCCGGCACATAGAGACGGAAGACTCTCTCTCTCTTATCAGCATCTCACAATCAATTGAGCTCGCGATAAAACAGCCGGCCTCCACCCATCTCTGCTTACTTAGTATGCACACAGCAGTCCAGTACGTAGGAGCTTATATATTAACTGAGAATTACATTTCTACGCTGAATTAGATTTTCCATGCTGAACCGCTTAAGTCCTCTTATTATCGCTCAACTCCGTATTATCGCCCGATCTCCGTTTCCATTATTTCCTCTGTAATATCGCTCAATCTTTTTTTGCGATTTTTTTTTCTTTCCTTAACATGCTGATTGCCGGTTTTTGTGTTTTTGTTATTTTAAGTTGATGTGTTTTTTGTTAACGTATTGTTTTCAGAGCGTTTGTACTTTTGCGTGCGTGCGTGTACGTGAGTGTGCGCGTACGTGTGTACGTGTGTTTGACGGAAGGTGACTGTTCATGCTATGTGTTGATGTCGAGTTAATTGCTTCTAAATATATTAATAAATTAATAATATTGATAAATATATATTCTCCATTTCTTACATCCATCCACCTCAAAAAATCTCTGAGGTACGAAATTTTATTGCACAATGAAATTTAAAGTTTCATGTTACTTTGTTCGAAAGCATCATGTATCATCATCACCACCATCACCACCACCATCATCATCATCACCATCCTCACCATCACCACCAGCAGTAGCAGCAGCAGAAGCAGCTTCATCATCAGCGTCGTCGTCGTCGTCATTATTTTCCTCATCATCATGGCCGTCATCAGAACGGTTGTTATTATCTGAAACTTGTTATCAAATTTTTTCTCGTGGAAATGTCAGACGATGCCCTGCTGCTGATGAATCTGCGC